TTTACTTGGAGCAAAGAGCTAACTACTTTTTTTTTGTCTTTTATTTGACTCTTTGCTCTAAATTTAACTCATCGTTTAATCGAGAACCACGTGATCTGACATCTATCGAACTCGACTCACGAAACTAAGTGATAAGTATTGTATATTTTTTTTTAGTTTTTAGTTTTATTTTTATTTTTTTTTAAGCATTTATCAATTCAGGTTTTCTTCGATCATAATATCGTGTACAAACTCTTGCCATAGAGCTGATTCTGACTATGAAATTATTATTATTATTATTTTTATTATATCATATTTATTTTTTATTTTTATTTTTTTTAATAAGCTAATAAATATTTTTATTTTTATATCTTTATTATCTCTACTGATAATTTTTTAATTTTTATTAATATACTTTAGGTTCGTTCAAGAAATGATCAAACTACTAAAACCATTTGAGACTATAATATGATGATTGTCAGGTGCCACATATCCAACTTTAAATATAGTTCATCCATATATATACACATTAAAACAAATGTTTGCGCCAAGAGTTGAAAATAATGAAACAATTGATAGCTATTTAGATATAATCTATGGGCCTTTAATAGTAGAAGATAGTTTGGAAAATATTGATAATAGTAGTGATTCAAGTTCTACTAGTAATAATGATGATATTCCAACTACAGGAAATCGACGACATTGGTGACATGCATCTCAACAATTTAAACGGCAGATGAAAAATATATATAGCAGAGGTCGAGATCGGGGTCGAGGTTTGGTTCGAGGTCGTGGTCATAGATGCATATCTAATTGGGATATGAGTAAAAATTCTAATCAAATTAAATACCTACCACCAGTTAATACCAAAAATCTCATCCAAAAAGTTCGAGCTGCTATCTATTTTTCTTTAGATAGATTATGGGAATCACCTAATAAAAGTTCTTTAATAGCAATGATATTAGATCCTAGAATGAAAAATTTTCCATTTATAAATGGATCAGAACGTGCAGAACAAAGAACACAGGCCAAACATCTTTTAAGAAATTTATATACTCAATTTAAGCAAGGCTTAGTGAATGAAAATCTTGAAAAGCCAATTTTGACAACAGACTTGGCCGACGATGCTGAAGATGTATTTTCAAAAATGTGGGCTGATAATCAAATACAAACACAAGACGAAATCACCCGTTATTTATGGTATCCTGAAGAACCAAAAAATGTTGATCCTTTAAATTGGTGGCGAGGGCATCAAAGAAGTTACCCTATTCTATCACAGATCGCGTATAAATATCGTTCGATCGCTGCTACATCAGTTCCCAGTGAAAGACTCTTCTCTGACGCTGGAAATAATATTTCGGCAAAAAGAACTCAATTAGCACCTAATTTAGTTAATCGAATTTTGTTTTTAAAGCAGAATAGCATATACTTCCCTATGTTTCCACCTTTGGAAAATGACAAATAATTTTTTTTTTCTTTTTTTTAGTATTCTATTTTATCTATTTCAATTAATTATTTCTTTTTTATGCAAGTAGCAACGATCTACATCAGAAAATTTTTTATATAGATATATATCGATATATAGCAAAAAATCGAAATATATCGATAAGATAAAAACGGTATTTATCGATAATTTAGGATATATAACGATATATTACCAAAAATCGATATATACCGGTAATAGGTATATATCGATAAATATCTAATCATCGATATATATCGATTTTATT